GCTGGATCTACACATTTCTTTTTGGCTCTCGCAAGATTAACGATGATAGGTTCAGGGTTAGACGAATTTAATCCGACTATATGATGAGTAATAACAGCTCACTAACACATGTTTATCTAATCTTAAGTACGAGTATATTTTTATCTTTTCTTTCTCTTAATCTTTGTTCGATGAAACTATTTTCCGTAATTATTACTATATATACTTAACCTTATATATATAATAATTATCTTCTTATAGATTTTCTTTGATAGCTTATGGTACAGTTAACTACACTACCTATCCTTACGTTTTCTTGCATAATTATCACTATTTATATATATAAATATTTATATATACATGAGATAATTATAATTAGTGAATATTCCATAATTGTTCTTGTGTGTGTGTGTATATATATATATATATATATATATATATATATAAAGTGATTATGATTATTTGGATAACAGGATATTAGGACATAGTAACAACTAAGTACAATGCATATCTTAAAATTTGGCAAACATTACTTCTATGTAGTAAGTTATCCTAGGAAATTGGCCAACATAACATCTAGGTATAATCTTTTCCTAGTATAACGAGTATCATAACGATTAGGCATAATATCATTGCTTAAGTCTAGGCACAGTTTCTACCGACATATTATCCTATCGTTTCATGTTTTTTAATAACTACTACTATATTTAAAAAATATATTTTGATAAAATAGTTTAATAAACAAGTATTCCCCATAAAATCTTTAAAACCGTAAAAGTAGGGCTGTGAACTCACCCACGATGCGTGATACCCCTGATGTTCAGTTTATTCAGGCTTGGGACTTCGGGGTAGCTCGGGATTGCAGCAGCTCGATCAGAGGGAGAGTGAGTGGATTTTGAGGGTGTGCAAGATGAAGCTGCAGACCCTGCTATTTATAGCTCAGAATTTGACGTGTGCGTGACGTAAATATCTATGCACGTGGTGCGTGGTCATCATGGCTCCGGTAGGCAGTAGTCACATGTTACTCTCTCTGTGGGCCACATCACTCGCAATCTGATCGAATCCGGTGTCAGATGTGTGCCGACAATGCGCACCTCGAGTGCACAAAACGATTTTTGAAAAATTTGTATCTTATGCTTATGAGCTCCGATCTTAACCCTCTTCATATCTACGCGATGATCTCAACTAGTACAACAAATTTCATTTAGGTTGGTTTGGCTAGTTTTGACTTTCATCTTTTTGCCTTATGGGGGTAAAAATAAATGATTTTACAAAAAAAACATTTTTCTCTCTCATATTTATCCCGTTTTTGGAATTTTTTTCCTAAAGTTCTTATCTAGAGGAGTACTACGCTTCTTATTTTTGTATCTTTATTCAAAACTTAACCAATCTCTATGTACCATTTCGAAGTCGTAGTAATTATTTACGCGTCTGATTTTACTTTTTACAAAAATCGTAACTCCTCCAATAGGAGTCAGACTTTTACCAATTTTATATCCTTGGAATCATGTCAACGGGTACTTTCCGACTATATTAACCGTTTTAAATGGTGGCACAAATTTTCAGATGCTTATTTTTTAGTCTAAATGTTGAACTACTTCTAAATGTAATATCATATTTGATTACATTTATGCATAAAATCAAACATTACAATACTAAGCTATTACATTTATCTATCCCTACTATTTCCTAAAGGTGGTTGGTGGCGGAATTTCTCTTGGTTGTCACAAAATTCTTTGGAAGGTCTTCAAAACTTTATGGAAATTGTTGAGAAACATGTCAACTCTGAAGACAAAGTACATTGCCTATGCATAAAATGTGTGAATATGTATCGATAGTTGTTGAGTGAAGAAATAAGAAAAACTCAGTGAATTTGATTTAAGGATTATAAGTGTTAAAAAGACAAAAACAAAGTTTCAAAATTGTCAAGTGGCAAGTAATGAGGAGAATAAAGAGTCCTGAATCAACCAAGTATTTGATAAAATATTTTTTAAGAGTTCAAGGTTAAAGATCCAAAGGTGCCTCATGATCATATGCATAATGATTGAATTACAAGTGTTTGAAATAGTAAAGACACTAAGTAAGAAACACTCAAATGGCTCTCTGGAATTTAGTCTAAACAGAAAATGAGCAGGAAGAAGCATGAATTGAGCAACTTTATAATGGAACCCAAGGGGCCTATTCATAGGCTTTGGAAAAGCCAATGACACGGTTTGACCTATCAGGTGTTGACATGTCATCATGACTTAATTATCAGTTGACACCTTGCCATACTTAAAAGAAAATAGATGGAATACTCGATTTCCCTTCGTATTTCGTTAGGGTTCCATGCAACCGTTGAGTCTTCATTTCTCTTGATCAAAATTGAGAGTATGACGAGCATCATGTTGCTCCATTGTCTTCTAAGAGGGTCAACAACTTATAGAGGCGCCATTGACTTCTAGGAGTGCCATTTATCAAGAGAAGTTGCTTCTTGAAAGCTGGAATGTGTATTGTTCTTGAAGATGTGAAAACGCTAAACATAATTTGCCATTGAGAGCATTAATATGCCATCATTATACATGATATGCCATGTTCAATCCTGATGAGTCATCAATGTGTTCATGATGCTCCACATATGACCTAGATGTGCCATTTGAGATCATGATGGTCCAACTTGCTTTTAACAAGTGCTCCATGTTTAGCAAGAGCTGCAACATATGATTCTTCAAACACTTGATCTACCTTTATTATATTTCCAACCAAAAATAGTCTGATAATGTTTGTTAGAGAAATATAGACAAAGGATCAAATTATTTCAAGTAACAATCACATACAAATATTTTTCAACAGTTTCCCCTATGTGATGATTACTTAAATAAGGAGTATAAATAAAAGAAATGTCACAATGAATGAAATTTATAAAATTAGTTATCAGTATTAAAAAGTTTCATCCACATCTTTTAACAAACAAGTAAAGAAATAATGATAATATACAATTTACACTTGATTTCTCAAGTTTAGCAACCATTGATGAAAATTTAGAAACCAAGTAAATTCTTGGATAGTCTTCACTCTCAATGTGCGGGCTTGATGTCATGTTCTCCTGAGTAGACTGATGACGCCTTGGATGATTTTTGAAGTGAAGAGATTCTTTTGAGAAATTCTCATGAACTTCAACTGTCCTCTGGATGAAGACAAAATTCATTTCTGTGGCTTCTTATGTATGTTCCCTCATTGCTCATTTTCCACACTTAGATCTAAATTCAGTTGATCGGCTTCCTTTTCTCCAAGTTAACCTATTTCCCAATCATCACTAAAATCAATGACCATTTCTAGAGAATATTATATCAAGCGTTGTAGGTCATCTGTATATGCTTCATTTGTGCTTTCTCTTTGCTTCAACCAAATAATCCGAGAACATGAATTCAAAATTGTACAATCTTTTCCCTTGAAAGAAGGCATATGGCATCTTTCGAAATCTCCAAATATCAAATTTACTTATCGAAACAATTTTGAATTTTGACCAAACTAAGAGTAATTGGATTGATTTCTCTATGAAGAATCTTTTCTTAACCTCTTCAATGTCTATACCAGATTTAAGTGGATATACTGTACTAGGCCATATATTGAACTTTGTGCCATTTGGAGGTGTAGGGATGTCCTAAATTTCTTTAGAGGAATCTGAAGGAGTTTTGTTTTTAGGATTAATGGCTTTAATCTTCTGATATTAATCTGTGTTAGGATTAAAGAAGCTTGTCTTTTTACGGAGGGTTCTCATATTTGCTTCTCATATCATGTTTCCCTTTCTTCAGGAGAGATCTCTGAAGATTTCTTTCCAAGAACCACCTTTTGTTTATTCTTTAACTCCTTAGCTTTAAGTCGTTTTGCTAACTCGGCATCTACTATTTCTTGAGCTTCTTTATCTAGATCCTTCTTTGATTTGAAAATGACTTTTTGTTTTCCTCTGTCTTTTGGATCAATCTGGGGAAGCTTTGGCTTGACAACTAGTTGTGTTGGAGGAACATATATGCTGATGGGAACACTTTTTCTTCATGGCACTTTTACTGTTGGGTCCTTGATCCCTTGTTTTCTAGTAAGTTCCTTATCTGCTTCCACCATTCGCGCTTTGTTTTTTTTTTTAGCTTTTAGTCTTGATTCGGCTTCCTTTTGTCCATTGCATCTAATTTTTATTTTCTCATTTTCTCAGTTTCATTTGGCGAATCTGGAATTTGATGAATAATAGGAGAAGGACTTGATTTGAGTTTGTTGAACTTTTCCCCCTCTGGTTCAGGTGCCCTGTCAGTTGAACCATATAATTTTTTCCAGAATCAAGTCTAGCTTTAGAATAAGACAAATAAACTTTTTTGTCGAAGCTCATGTATCTTTGAGGAATGGGATTGCGTCTCAAACTCCTTAACTTTATTGGCAAGTATCTGAACTGTCTTTTGAAGAATAGAGATGTCTTTGGAGTAACCATGGATTTTCGATGTTGGAGAATTAGATTGGGAAAGATTTGCAATGTCAGAGCGCATGGAATCCAATTAACGCTGAACCTGTTCGCTAAAGGCTTGAAACTGAGTATCAGATGACATATCTGAAACCTTAAATAGATCTGCCACATATTTCTCAAGAATAGAAATGAACCAGTCTTGAGCATCAATGTGATTTTGTAGATTATCCACTTTCGATTCGTTGATTGAAGCGAGCTGTGAGCAAGACTCGAGAAAATCATCGATATTCTAATGCATCGAAGAGAGAAGATTATTGATGGTCTTCTGAATCAGTGGATCTAGACTCTTGATTTTCCTCATGTTACGAACAGATTGACCCTTGAGATATGAAACTGTGTCGTAGAAGTCGTCAATAGTATCTGTAATTTCCGACACCAGCTCTTCTGCTTTCTCATTACAGAGACACATATTGTCTGTTGTTTGTTGTAGAGACTAATGAAATTCGTTCAGGGACTCAACATGGTTAGATTAGTTGAAGAGAATTTCTTGAATACTGTCAGTGACCATCTGATCAGTCAGTTTAATGTGTTAAGGATCAGGTCTAGATGAAGTTCGAGAAGTAGGAATAGGTGCTTCATCTGTATCATTTCTAATGTTTTCTGCATCACTGGTCTTTGGTTGAGGTGAAGAGATATTTTCTTCTTGAGTGTCATCATTTTCTTGATACTCTTTGTGTGGGAAAGGAGAGTAGTCATCAAGATATATGTCGAAGAATCTTGAAGATACTTTGGAGTATAGAAATGTCAACATATTGGTTGGTTCATAATCAACGATCAATCCTTCACATGGAGGTATGTCAACCATCTACATAGGAATATTGTGGTCTTGATCATCTTGCATGTTGAAAGTATGAGGAGTTTGTTGTTTTTCACCTTCTTGGTCATCATCATGGTCTGAAAAGGAATCAACCATGGTAGTACGAGTACTTGGACCGGGTTGGTCCGGCTGATTGGATGTCGGTGAATCTGGAGCTGGAGATGAAGATTGGACGTACTCAGATGGAGTTCCGAACAATGAATAAATGAAAGTGAATGGCTTAGTCGTTGTACCAGATTTAGGAGAGGTCGTGTTCTCATCTAAATCTCCTCCATTGTCATCGTCAGATGCTTCTTGAGAACAAATAGGAGTTGGTGGATCTGGCTTTGATTTTTTTATATTCTTCACCAATTTCTTTGATGCGTGGTCCAAGTGTTTCCTTTTCTTTTTAGGTTAAGGAGTGATTCCCTGAATGTATTTATGATAAGAAAATAGAGAAGTACTATCTGAATCCAACTTTTCTAGGGTGACTGGATGTGGAAACTGGGATTCGGTAGCAGCACGAATCTCATAAGGTGACATATGCAAGAAAGTGGGTATTTTTCCTTCTAAAATGTCAATCAGCGGTTAAAGAACATTACTAATCGTATCATGAAGGATAATTCACCACCAACGAGGATGATAAATCTTGAAATTCTTCTTTGAAGCAGGTATATAAGTGAGGAATTCCTCCCAAGGAATAGATGCGTAGTCAACTTTGACATCATAGTAAAGACCATACATGATGGTCTAGTGATTTTTTGTACCACGAGTGTGTCTACCAATTGAATCGAGAAGGCACTGAGTAATAACAGAATTGCTAAAGTGGATTGTGCTGGAAGACGACCTTTCTTTATTCTCAAAATGTTCCGTTCTTTATCTTTCTCAAATATGTAACACGTTTCTCTGAACATCATCAATAACTGAGCATTAGTAGGAGTGACATATTTCAGGGATTCATAAGAATCATCATACATACCTAAACACTTTGCGAATTCATCTTTCTTTAGAACTAAGGTAGTAGCTTCATAGTCAAATTCGACAACCAACTCTTTTGCATGCACCGTAGGAGTTATTGTTGCAGTTTGAATGGTGTTGAAGATGATGGACTCTAGAATCTGAGTGGTAGTCAGTAATGCATAAGCAAGTGGACATTTTTGCAGATATTCAACTATGATGCCTATTTATTTAGGTTGTGAATCAGTGTTCAGAAGTGCGATATATTTGGATGAAGCCATGGTGATTTTTGATGAGGAGGTTCTTGCTACAGTTGAAGATTCCTTTGATTGAGATGTGGACGCCTTATGAGAAGATATGGATTTAGATGTATTTCCATCTCCTTTAAGAGCTATATCTTGTGTAGACAAGAGAAGAAAAGAAAGTTGGAATTGATTGTTAGTCAAAGAGAAGTAGCTAGAGAATAGTATCATGTATCTTTAACTAAATTCCAAAAAAAAAAAAAAGAGGATGGGGAAAGTGAAAATAAAAATGTATGAATTCGCATTAACTAAACAACATTATGATTTAAGTAGTATGGTTGATTAAAGTATAGATACGAATAATATGTAAATTTGAATATCACTAAGTATAGGCCATAAAGTGAATTACATATTCAGTGAAAATAAAGGAGAAAGGACTTGATGTCATAAAAAACAGAATTAAAATCGATGTTACTAAATCTAGAAAGAATGAAAGGATTAAGTAAAACTACTAAGTCATTGCATATTATGACTATGGCATATCAAACAATGGTGTCTTCAGATACAAAAAAAATAATGTATCTGAGACAATAGATGACAACTATATATATAAATCGAAGACCACATAGGAAGGTGAGTGGATTAAGATAGAGTTGTGAAAAAAAAGTTGATCTTCAAAGAAGGTGCATAAGGCATTAGTATTAAGATCACAAAGGGAGATAAAGAGACATTACCTTGAGTAAGAAGAGAAATATAAGCTTAAAGAGTAAAGGTAATAGACTTTTGAAGATGGAAATGTAAGATGTGCAGTAGGTAATAATGCCTAACAACTATGGTGTGTACAAATAAGTCTAATGCTCACAAGTGAAATGTGATCAAAAATCCAAAAATAAAAAAAAATTGAATGTATGTAAATGAAAAGAGAATGTGATGCTCACCCAAGATGATTGTAATACATAGTAGTGTTCACAGATAAAAGATGATAGACAAATACTTGAGAAACATAAAAATAAGAACATATGTATAGACCAATGAACACATCAAACATCAACTAAGGAAAGACAAACATCACATAATGTAATGTGAAAAGCGAGAAAGGGGGATATGACTTAGCAATTGATGTCTTGGAGAATGAATAAGTAGCACAAAGAGAAAGTTGCACACTTTAACAATAACACTTCAGGGTTTTAAATGATGATATTCAAGTCACTGTTATGTCAAAGATAATGATGAAAAAATAGGGTTTAAGCACTGTGACATCCCCTAATTTCTCGGCCAGAAAAGACCGATTTAATTTATGCTTTTTAAAATAAAATCAGAGAAATCTTTTTAAAAGATGTTGCGGAATTGGTCCCCAAAACAAAACATGATAAAAGTTTGTCAAAACCTTTCTTTAAGAAATATATAATTTCCTTTTATATCAAAACCTCGGGCTGTCATGTTCCGATACAGATCAAAAGCATAAACAAGACCTTATAAGCGTTACAATAGTTATTTATAACTATTGGCCTATAATCCAAAAATCACTCATCATCATCATCCGACTATGCTCGGGGTCCTCTACCTGTAATATAAACAGCTGAGTGGGTCAGGCTTGGAAGCCTGGTGAGCATATAGGGTTTTCAACCCACAATACATAATTTATTATGCTTAAACATCAAACAATCAACCCAATTACCCTAACCCCATTATCTTATTTATTTCTTAAGGGTTTAACCTAGGAATCAACTATCACTCCTTCCTAAGGATTCATCCTAAGGAATAGGCACAAGGTCACACCATCACCAGGGTTTATACAACAGGCACTAAGTCCATAGCTGCCAAGGTTTATTCAACATGTGCTAAGTTTTGGGATTTGAGCATTCTAACACTCCTAAGTGTACATGCAACCCTAAATACCTTGGATCTATGTTTTCTCTATTATACATGCAAATATGAATATTCCAAGGTATTACCCTATCTAGCATACAATCCTTGATACATGGGTAATATAACAAGTTAGAATACATACCTTTTAATGAAGCTTGAAATCTTGAACTTTAAGAGCTTAGCCCCAATAGTGTGGAAGCCTCAAGTGGAATCACAAATCACCAAAACACCTTGGAAGACTTTAGAGAATATGGATACTTGGCTCACACTTATGATATCGGTTATTGCCCTCTTTTGTGTATCCACACTAGCCACTAGCCTAATTTCATGAACCATAAGACCCTTTATATAGTGTGGAGGATTAGGCTTAAACCCTAATACCCATGACCTTTCATTTCCTAGGATCCATGGGTTAAAGCTCCATGGACTATCCATGAAGACTTAGCCCAACCTAAATGAACTTGGCCCACTACACATATATATCTAAGAGTCCATATTTAATTAGTTCCTTTTGATCACTTAATTAATTATAAATTAATTCTTGATCAATACTAATTAAATAATATGATTATATATTAATATATTAGAACTTATAATATATTAATATAAATCTAAAGCATGCTATTCTCAAAGGATTATCTATATAAATTGTTTCAGTGAAGTGCAACCCAAATGGACCATGCCAAGTTAGGTCAAGTACATACTAATTATAGTTATGGACTTAGACATTAATCCAACAGTCTCCCACTTGGATAAGTCTAAAACTATTATTGAGTATCACTTCAAAACCTAACTGCCAATCGTAGCTCTTAAAGCCGTTGTCGAACTCTGACCTTGTCAATGAACTCTGACCTTTGTCAATGACTTGTCCATTAGATAAGGGATCATATATTCCTCCATTCTAGATATCATATGGACTGGGACATGGATTATAATCATTCTCTCTGTCCATTATGATGACTGACTGATTGAACAAATCAAATCAGTCCTTGCTTGGCCAAGCACTTAGGGTGTCATCGCTAAATCATCGAGGGGCCCAAATATATCGCTTTTATCCCGAAGGTAAAAGGAATGGATAAACTTCGACTCATATGGCTTGTTCTACTACTTGTTGAATCATACACAAAGGCACGTTTTATAACATCGAGTTACCAAATGTGTTTTCATGCAATCAATGTATAACCAACTCATAGTAACAACTCATATCTCTAGGTTTGAAAAATATAAGATATTATCGTCTCATGATCACTCGTGATAAAATCCATGAAGTGATTTAAATGAGCGCGGGTTGAATCCAGTACTCAGAACTTATGAGCACTCATGAGTGTTGTAGCACAACTTTGTCCACCAACTTGGACCTCTACAAGGCAACCCATGACAGTCTTGATTCATATCTACTTCCAACATATGACCGACTGTGGATGGTTTGAATAACTTAGTCATTCCGGAAGAATAACCTAGTTATTATGGAAGTCAAAACATGCAAAGTGAAACACAAGAATAAATGAATCTAATACGGTATCAAAACCTATGAATATAAATAAAACACTTTTTATTTATCACCATACTGATTACTCATTATTCATTGTTTCGGTTTTATCAACTTTATACTTGAATTAAAACACTAGTTGTCCCATGCTCCAAGCAAGTACACTATGTTTTTCAAAACAATAGCTTTGCCATACACCAAGTATGCACTCTATGTTTATCTATGATCCTTACTTTGTGAAATAAACCAATTGAACATAATTTCAATGATTCTAATTTCACACTCCCAAATCCTTATCGAAAAATGTGAGAATTTCAAATTCCTATCATTTATCGAAATCTGTTTAGATTTTAAACTTATATGCACTGACCCTCCTGTAATGAATATGTACAAAGTCACAAAGACTTGTCAACAGTCATTATAAGGTATTCCAATGGAGATCAACTCCATGGAAACTAAGTCTCATATTCAAAGTACATTGCTTTGGACATGCTTCTTGCATTAAGTTTTCTAATCTTACACAGATAACTTCCACCTTCTTAATGCCTCTGGGCATTTGGAAAATTTGGAAAGGACAAATATTATAGCTCATGCAATCGATCCTGTACCCAAAGCAAATGGGACACGATTCATGATGTCTCACATAAAGACATGATTCTAGACCAGTCTTTTGCTACAATATTTTTGTTTGCCATGTTTTCAAAATTTGATTATGAAGAGGGATGTCGTAATCATAATCGAATTTTGAGAATGCAATATATAGAATTTCCTTAAGTTGAACCAATCTAACATGAAATTCGTATCTATATTCTTGACTAAAGATGATTAAATCTAAGCCTTTAGAACTGAAATGAAGTATATCATCTCCCTTAATAGCTAAGCCTTTAGAACTGAAATGAAGTATATCCTCTCCCTTAATTATAGCAAAACAACTTTTTCAACCCCTGCAACTTCACGAATTGAAACTTTTGTTTTGTATAATTAACATTGCTAACTTGCAATACTTATCATAATTATCATGCTCCCACTAACATGATGATTATTAGCATAACACTTATGCTCCCACTAGCTTTGACATGTATCCAGAAAACAGTTGGACTTCTAGAAGTCAATAATTTATTGACTTTCTTACCAAAGTTCAGATTTCTGATACGAGATTGCTTTGATAAGACTTTATCAAAATCATA